GCTTCCCTGGTAAGTGCAAGGCTCTGAGTTCAATCCCCGGTTCCACAAAAAAAAAAAAGATTGTTCCAGTTATTATATGTCCTTTGTATTTTCACATGAATTTAAAAAATCAGCACAGCCCTATCTTCACACAGTCCTGCTCTAGTTTTGGTTGTGATGGTACTGAATCTGTAAGTGGCTGTAGGAAGAGGGACAACTACTAATTTTCAGACTCTTTCACAGAACAAGTTAAGGCAGTGGCAGTGAGACCCGGTGCCTTTATCACAGTGTAAGAATAGTTCATAAACACACCATCTATGCCCTGTAAGGGAAGCAAACATTTAAACTATAATGAATACATCACACTGGCAAAAATCCAAGCTTGAAATCATTATGTAGGAGAACAGGCACTCTCACACCCTGTAGGCAGGCATGTAAACTGAAACAACCCAAAAAGCAAAGTTAGGAAACATTTATTACAAGTGTATATACACCTTTGCACCCACAATCCTACTCTTGGAATTTATGACATGTTTTTCATAAACAGGGTTGTGTGTGGTTTGAAAAAGCAAAAGGTCTTCAGTAAAACCCGGAGTGGTGGCGCACACCTGTAATCCCAGCACTAGGGAGGCTGAGACAGGAGGATCACTGCGAGTCTGAACTGTGCAATGAGACCTTGTATCAAATAAATGAATACATAATTTTTTTTTTTGGTGTAACTGGGGATTGAACTCAGGCCCCTGGCAAGCGCTTATTCTACTAAGCTATGTCCCCGGCTCAGGGTAAATAATTTTTTTTTAAAGAAGATCTTAAGGGGCCAGGGAGATGACTCAGTACGATAAGCGCTTCACTGGCAAACGCAAGGATCTGAGTTAAATCCCCGGTTCCGCAAAAAAAAAAAAAAAAAAAAAAGATCTTAAGTAAATCATGGCACAGCGAAACAGTGGGATAAGGCTTTTTTTTGGCTGGCTGAGGGCTGCCTTAAGGGATGGTCTGGTAAGGCAGGATCAAACCACAGTATCCTGCACCCCACTGCGTTTGCATGAGCAGGCATTTAAACAGCTGAGCTAATTGGCAGGCTCCCCAAACAGTGGGATATCAGGTAGCTTTTTATTGATTCCCCAGGGTTTATTGCAATAGCCTAATTGGTGCTCAATTACGTCTTTTTTTTTTTTTTTTTTTTTTTTTTTTTTTGGTAATAGGAATCAAACTCATGACCTCAAACTTGCCAAGCAGGCTCTGCACCACTGAGTTATATCCCTGGCCCTAATGACTTTCTTTTATAGTAGTGCTGGGGATTAAAACCAGATAATACCACCTATATATGAAAAAGAAGTATTTTAAGATGCCTAAAATACTTTGTTTAAAAAACAAATGTAGCTAGGAGTCGTGACCTATAATTCCAGCACTCATATCACTAGGAGTTGAAGGCCAGCCTGAGCTACATAGTTATATTCTGGTTGTTGTAACACAGATATGCTATGCAGCTCAGACTCATGGTGACCCTCCAGCTTTCAGCTTCCCCAGTGCTGGGATTACAAGCATGCTACACTACGCCTGGACTCTGGTAGGCTCAGCCTGGCCTGGGGGTAGGGCTGGCATGGCATGTGATCCCCCCACCCCTGCAACCGGGGATTGAACTCAGGTCCTTGCGCTTGCCAGGGAAGCGCTTATTCCACTGAGCCATCTCCCTGGTCCCCAGGGTCCCCACTCTTGCCTAAGCAAATGCTTTAGTCTGCTGAGCTCCTTCCTACTTTTAATTTAATTTAATTTTTTTGCGGAACCGGGGATTGAACTCAGACCCTCATCTCCCTGGACCCACTACTTTTTTTTTTTTTTTTTTT